CAGTATATTATATTAATAACTTTATTATTTTTTTAGAATTTTAAAATAAATTAACAAAAAAAAATTATAATAATTATATAATAAGTTTATAAAAATAAAAATAATATTTATTAAAAAAAATTTCTTTATTTAAAATTTTTTATTTTCTTAAATTCTTGTTACTTATTAGTAAATCTTTATTAATAAATATTATTAATATTGATATATTATTTTGTTATTATTATTTATTTATTATTTATAAAAATTTTTTAATAATTAATATACATGTAAAAATAAATAAGTGATATATTTTATGTTATTAAAAATCTTAGTATTCAAAGAAAAGATTGAAAAAACCTAACATTTTCACCAATCAAAGTCACCAGATTAAAGTAGTGTTGATAGCCAATAAGACTATTAGCCATTAGCCACAGATTTATTCAGCATTCCTTAATTCGAATACTAACTTTTTCCAGGTTTATTTTATTAAACTTCTATAAGACTTCTAGTGAAGATAAAGTTACACCTGGGCACAATTCATTAGAAGTTTCGCATTTATGATGGATGAACTTCCGACTGAGCGATCAATCAATGTCAAATTTCGCCTGTCTACTGGTGATATTTTCGATTATAGGTTTGATCCGGAACAGCTAACGGTTCAGCAGCTCAAGGAAAAACTCGCCCCGCATACTACCACGTCTGCTAACAACATGCGTTTAGTATACTCTGGAAAGATTTTGAAAGATGAGGACCTGGTAGACTCATATGGTGAGTCTTTTAAATTAGAATTGTAGTGGACGACTACTTTGCATTTTTGTTACCACTCTTGCATTCAGGGTGTTATTGGTGTAATTAATAGATCTAGAAAATTAGTCAATATTTTTTGACATTAGGAATTCTCACTTCTTTCTCGGAAAAATAATTAAATTTCAGGAGTTAAAGAAGGTCATACAATACACATAGTCTCCGGACGTGGTCAAGGACGTGGTCAATCAGTTAATACTCCATCTGTTACAATATCCCAACGAAATTCTAGCTCTACATCGACAAATCCTTTTGGGATGAATCCCTTTGGAATGGGAGCCAATTTCGATCAAGATTTAATGAGAAACGTGATGAGTTCACCAATGATTCGGGTATATTATAGAAATTTCTAACTATTAATTGAAAAAGTATTCCGATTTGATCAGAATTTAATATCATAATTGATACCGCAGTAGTTTAATTTTACTGCGGTCAACGGCACAGTTCGCTTGGATTCTCTGACGTTGATTAATAATAAAAGAAAAAAAATTCTAGTTTCCTTTTTTGGGGCATATTTTTTTTATTTATTATTATTATTATAATTATTTTTATTTATTTTAGCAACTCCTTTCTAATCCAGAAATCGTGAGGTCCATGGTGATGCAAAATCCAACAATGCGACAAATGATCGAACGAAATCCCGAAATTGGCCACATAATCGTATGTATCATTAATTTATTTCACTTTGCATTAATTATTATAAAATTATGATTACAATTTATTTTGATTTTATTTCAAACAGAATGACCCTTCATTCATCCGTCAGGTTTTTACTTTTTTTCTTTAAATTACATTATTATTGTTATTACTATTTATTTGCAATCTATTTATGAGCCTTGTATTTTTGCGGTCAGACAATGGATATGGCACGCAATCCTGAATTGATGAGAGAAATGATGCGCAATAATGGTAATATAGATATGAATGCAATTAATGATTTATGCTTTCTATTCAAGATTTTTATTGATTTCAATAGATAGAGCACTGGCAAATCTGGAGACCATACCTGGTGGATTCAATCACCTACGGCGAATGTACCACACATTGCAAGAGCCTCTTGAATCTGCAAGTCGAAATGTATGTTTAAAAATATGTATTTATATGTTCAATGTCGATTTTTATTTGTAAATCTGAATCAAATTCTATTGTGTTATTAAAGAATGATCAATCATCAGAGGCAGCGAATCAGTTCTTAGCCCAACTTTTAAATGTTGAGAGACCTCCAGGTGTGTTTTTGAATTAACTTTCTTTAGCATTAAATAAATACTTCAATAATATATTTTTTTGTAGAGGGACGCATAAATTGTACACCATTACCCAATCCATGGGTTCCACGTAATAATAATAACATAACAAATTCTACGAATGTCCTTAGCCCATTCGGAGGTATGTTTAAATGAAACTAAAGATCCTTTTTTTTGTGTTATAAGATTTAATGTTTCGATATGTTCAATTACTCATCTGTTAAAGCATCCGGGGGAATATCACCTTTTAACTTCTTTGGTTTTCCACCCACTCAACTGGTAGTAACAATAAGAAAATATAGCCTTTAGAGACTTATAAGATAATATTAACATTTCTACTTTTTTCTATAGTCTTTCCCATCACCATCTTCGGTTTCCAGAAATTCTTCTACAACGTTATCAAACCAATCATCTACGTCCTCCCAAACAAGTGAAACACCAAATACAACACCAAATTCAAATGGATTCGCATCAAATTTTTCTAACATCACTCTCCCAACTCATTCACCAATGTCCAATGACCCGGAATTTGTTAGACGTTTTCAACAACTTATGCAACGTTATATGACTTCTCCACAATTTGTAGCGTCACGTCAACAAATGTCTCAAACTTACTTTCCTACCTCCCTCTTTGGATCACCATTCTCTAATATGCCTCCTTCACACAGGTATGCATTTTATTTGCACTAAAACATTCATCTTCTTTCCTATTAACCATTATTGAACAATTACCAGCACTAGTCAATCAACGTCATCTCAATCATCCGAACCCCCTGAAACACGTTTTAGAGTACAACTTCAAACGCTCGAAGAAATGGGATTTGTTGATCAAGCCGCAAACATCAGGGCCTTGCTTGCTTCGGGGGGTGACGTCGGTTCAGCTATTGAAATTTTGCTAAGCGAAATTCAATGATCAAGTGAAAAAAAAAAAAAAAAAAAAAAAAAAAAATAGGAAAAAAAATTAATAATAATGAACACAAAATTTTATAATTAGTTGAAAATGTTCAATCTTCTCTGTAATTATAGTATGCGCAGAAAATATTCGGTAGTTGTTGAATTTGACCGTAAGATTAGAACATTAGGATATCAAAGCATATTATTATTGATTGCTATATTGATCCATTGTAGCAAATCTAATGTTCGTGAGGCAAGAATTTAAATGGAAGTTGCAAGTTTTGGTAAATTGGGAGCTTGGAAAATAAGAATTAACGAATTTCAATAGTTCTTAATCATATTTATTGAATGATACACTTCACCTCTTATAACAATTTGGAGTTAGTGTATCTTGACAATTTAATAACCTTTTTTTTTCTTGATTAAATAGTATATCTTGATATGATCAATAATGCCAATGATCATGCGTTATTGTGTGATAAAGTTATATTGGAAGTTTGAATATACAGTTTAAATACAATAAAAAACAAATTGTTAATAGATATAAAAAAAAAAACCATTAATAACAATTTTTATTTATAACTTGTGAATTATTAGATATAAATTATTTTGTATTATTTTATTTATTTACTGTATATTGATTAAAATTAATTTTTCAATAAAGAATTATAAATATTTTTGATAAAATTTAAATATTACTAAATAGTTGTATTTTGAATACATACTTGCTTTTTATTTTAAAACTTATAATTTTTTAACACAATTATTTTAATTATAATACAATTATATAATTTTGACACAATTTCACAATTGTATCACAATGTTACAATTTTAATAAAATTTTGAAATTATAATGCAATACAATTGTAATATAATTTTTATCAAAAATTTTTTTAAAAAATATAATTAATTAAAATTTTAATGATTAATATCTTAATATTCAATGATTCAATTTAGATAAAATATATATTATTTGAAAATTATTTATAAGAATTTAATATAAATGTTATTCAAATTAAATTACTAATATTAAAATATTAATTATAAAAAATTAAAATTATATATTTTATATTTTTAATAATTTATTATAGAGAGTAGACAGAAGTTTATGGACAACTTTTTTTTTCTTTTAAATAAAATTTAATTTAAAAACTAATTAAACTTTTTTGATAAAAATATACTCAATATATAAGTGTAACATATTCAATTTATAAAAATGTATCATATATATATAATTTTTTTTTTATTTACCTAAAAATTTCACTTCAATTTTCATATAACCACTAATGCCTGCTAATAAAGAATTAACTTTTGAACAAAAAGCAATCATAATTTATGGTTATAAAAAAAAGATACCTAATGTAATATCATAACTATATCAGATACAAAAAAAATATGATAGATAATGTTATAAAGTATTTCATTAAAATTGGATTCATGAAATCAGAAATGTGACAATTGAAATGACTATAACTTCTCAATAAGCATGCTCATATTATTTTCAAAAACTTGTTACTGGCAAAAAGAATAACAGATGTGTTACTGCTACAAAACTAATCAATCTTTTTATAGTAAAAAAACCATTTGTTAAATCCTATATAAAAAATAGTTAAAAAGTTGTATCGATTGTTCCAAGCCCTTTGTTTTAAAAAAAATATTGAAAGTCAATTTACCTGGTACCTTGCATATAAAGATTAGACTGTTTGAAACTTTAAAAAAGTAGTTTAAAATGATGAATTTATATTTACTCAATTTCAGCAAGAGAATAAATATCATGTTTGGTGTAATTTACACAAAGAATGAAATGTTGAATGACTTTCTGCTACTATAAATTATAGTTTAAATTATATACATTAGAAATGTTTTTTATAATTCAGTATTAGCCCTTTTGTTTCTTTTTGTACCTTTATTAAAGGTAAGAAAAAATTAGTTTATTAAATAAATAAAAAATTAGACTTATCCTTTTTTTTTTATAGTGAAGTCAAATATTACAACTCTCCAAGATCATTTTCTATTAGCCCTTCAAAATTTTAATAAAACTAATTGGGATTATAGTGGCTGCCTTTAGTTTTAACATAATAATGTAAGGTCATATGTTGTGAAAATTATGAAGAAGCTTTTTGCTAATAAAAATATTTGAGTTATGGACTGATCTTCTTGAAGTCCAGATATTAACCCAATTGAAAATTTCTGGTATTATATTAAAGTTCAGGTTTGTAAAACCAAACTTAATAATTTAATAGAGCTTGAGAATTGTGTTTTAAAATATTGGAATGAGATCAATTTGGCATACTGTAAATAATTGATTAAGAGTATATTACTTCATATTATAGCTTGCATTGCAGCTAAAAGAAGGATTACAAAATATAAAAATAAATATAATCAACTATATAAATATTCATAAATCAATAGTATATAAATTGATAATAAAAAAATATGTAATAAATATTTAAAAAAAAAATTATATATATATATATATTATAGCTATTAAATAAAAAAATTTAAAAAATTACAATCAAGCAACTTCAAAATCAAATCCACGAAAATTCTCATCCATATAAGAGCCAACAACGACAACAATTGACCTACCTACTTTGATCACAGACATCTATATTCAAAGCAATTTCAACTTCTCCAAGTGCATTATTAATCTAATCCAAAGCTATTCCAATCTTATTTCTCCCAACACTGAGTAGGTAAACATAGCTGCTCAGTATTATCTGACAAGATATATTGTTTTAAATTTTATTTTCAATATTAGTCATATGGTTTCTGTAGACAAGCTAGCATTAAACTTACTGTATTTACAAATGAGAGATGTTGTTTCTTTCACGATGTATACTTTTAATATACAAA